ACACACCATGAACGATCTATAATTAAAAATCTTCTACAATTTCAAATTTTTATTATTTTATTTAAATTTGGTAATAAAGTAAAAGTATTTAAAAATAGTATTTGATTTTAAATACAGATACTTTCAAAAAAGTATTCAAATACTATACCCAAGTACTTTTTTCAAATGTATTTAGAATACGTATTTGAGTACTTAAAAAATATTTGAATACTTTTACTCAAATACTTTTACTCAAGTACTTTACAAGACTGCTAGGTACCTACTTAATTTATCGTTCAAACACATTATGATTTATGCGGTTATTCTAACCATATTGCAAACTATTTATTACCAATTGCCAATAACATATTATGACTTACGAGGTGTGATCACTGATCAAAAGTTATCGGGATATTTTAAATAAAAATTAGATTAACACAACATTATTCTAACTTCTAATTTTAATACTTCATATTAGATATCCATTTATCAACTTCACGCCTCATGGTAATCACAAATCTCGCTTAGAAGCAATAGACCGCTTCTATCTTCTTTTCCATTTTTGAAAACAATAACACGCTCATTGGCGGAAATAAGGAGGGGCTTGAATGGCTTAGCCCCCTCAAAAGTATATTAATATACCAACCTCCTTTTTAAATTTCGTATAATTGAAGCCCCCCGCTCACATTGATGTTAATAATGTTGGCTCCCCCTGAAATTTTAATGGACTCCCGCGTCCCACCTATAGACAAAAACCGTGATACCTGTTATAATAAATTATTAAATAGTTACACACAATATGACACATAACATATAATATTATTATTGATCATAAGAACTATAAATTATTAATTCGACACTATAGTCACCAAGGCCGGATTAAGGGGGGATCTAGCTAGGGCGGAAGCCCCGGAGCCTTCTCAAGTACCAAAATTAAATGGGCCCAACAATTTTTAAGCTGATACACATTTTTCAGTGATTTTAAAGAATAGTTTTTCATTATTATAAATTAAGATATTATACAGGATACGGATCGGAAAGGTCTTATCAATGTTTTTCTGAGTCCGTCCGCTATTCTCACTGTTATGCATGACAACTAGCGTTTTGTGGGATTTTTCTGTGTTAACCGGGAGAATAATGAACTATTGTTCCCTATTTAATTCCTTATTCTCCCGGTTAACAAATACCTAACAATTCTATGAACCGATAGTTGTCATGCCAAACAGTGAGAAGGTTCGAGCTTCACTTATCACACGTTCGTTCGGTGTCCTATACCTAAGTCTTAATTTGTGGTAGGGTGCATACAAAAAATAAATATATAATATGTAGACAGGGGTGTCTTTAGGTTAATTGCAAGGAGGGGGTGAAATAATTTTAGTCTTGAATAGGTACCGCTTTGCTAAACACAAAATTAACATCTTTATCTGCTTATATAATCTATATGTTTTATGTTCATATCAACGCAGTCTGTATAATCAAAGTGTACGGAAAATTAACAAAATTTATAAAATGTATTTATCTATTAGCAAAAGTAGAACATCTCACATTCTCACGACTTATGGTGGGGCGCAGTCACCCCTCAAGGACGCCACCGCATGTGGGTACATGCTATTTAAGTTTATGTAGTTAATAATATTTCTATATTAGGCATACATAATATAGGTAGGTTGAAGGTTCGTATATAATATATATAAATACAAAATGTTTAGATAAATAATTAGTTCGAATCTTTCTGAATTCTATTAACATTACCTACATGCTACTAAATTTGGTTTTACTTTGGAATAGTAAGTACTTATTCAAACAATTATAGGTACTCAATTTTTAATTTATTTTAGTAAAATGTGTTTCCTTTTGGTGTGAGCTTAACTAGGTATAAGAAGTTGATTTTTTTATTTTAAAAATTATTAAAGCTTATTGACTCAAATCACGTAATCATATAATATTACCTATTATTAGATACTTAGGTATATGAAAAGCCCAACATTTCAATATTACTATTAGATACCCATCACTACATCTCTACCTACTTACCTAAATCTAATACCAAGTGCAATTTTTAGTAAGTACCTAGAATATTGTGGATTAAATTGAAAAATATTTTATTGTTCAAGTTGTTGTCTTTGTGGTTTAGCTTAGTACCAAGTGATATTTATAAACAGAAATTTTACATTGATTAGGTAACTATATTCAAGGTCGAGAAAAACACATTAAAATAAAACCATATTTACTTATAATCGACAATAGGTACCTATATAATAGTATTGAATTATTCTAATAAATATAATATTTTCAATAGGTAGGTACTTAGTTACCTTTATACTCGTTCTAGTTACTCGGGTTATAGGACTTTTCATATTTCAGTATTGGTAGCCCTTTTCTATAGCCCACGGTGATTATGATCTTTAAGTAGACCGCGGATAATATAATATTATTTATTTATTATTTATGTAGATAACCTCTGGTACCAGGAGGTTAGAACTAAGTAGGTATTTAATTATTTAAGACAAATACTGAAATACAAATTTTATCTGTTGTCTGTATAGGCATTATTGAATATGTTGGTCATACCTATATATTAATAGTTATTATTATCAGGGATGGAAAAACGTTTTTTAAAATTTTTATTAAACGTAAAAAAACAAAAAACAACTGAAAAACAATAACAAAAATCCGAAAAAAATTTAATAACAAAATCAAAAACGAAAATAAATTATATTATTATTCATTATTATATTTATACCAGGCAAAAAAAATTTCACTTCAGTCTTTACTTTTTAATCTTTACCAATAATGCACTTTTGAAATTTAAATATTAAGAATAATTGATTTTAATTTTTAACTTTTAAGTGCATTTCTATATTGCGCGTTACTACTATAAAAAAATTAAAACAATATTTTCAAAAACGTTTTTTTGGAAACAATAGGAAAATAACGTTTTAATATTTAAATCAATAAACAAAAACAAAAACGAAATAATTAAAAACGTTTTCCATCACTGATTATTATCATACGATTATAAGGAATGAACAATGTAAGGCATAGTAAAATATTATAACCATACACAAAATAAATAAAATATTGAAAAACAAAATTGAATAGGTAACTATCCAAAACTGCATTTGTTGGTATTTGTAATACATTTCATATTTTCATAATGTTTATATTGAGATTTGAAAATTTTTTTTTAAAGGTTTTTAATTAAGGCATTAAATTCACTCCCTAATATTAGTCTAAATATTTGAAAATTTCACTGTGAAGGTATCTACTACCTAAACACCATATGTTTTAAAAGCTTGAATTACGTATCACAAATTATTTATCAAAATTATCGATTACTCAAATCTTAAAGGAAACAAAAATAAAATCCACCCCAAACAGAATTTAAAAATACTTTAAGGGGTAAGAAACAGATTTAAGTTATATAGACTCGATAGTATATATATTTGTATAAAGTAATAGTTTTTACTATAATGTATGTATAAAGTATGTATGGTACAAAGTTATAGAAAAGTAGAAATGTAAAAAAAACTGTATTTTCTATTAATATACGTGTCTAAGGCGGTAACATTTTGAACTTATAAGTTATATTTATATACAAAACTAAGATTCATAATCAAAATTAATACCTTAATAATACTTGACAAATTTAGGATAATAAAAACAATTCAACACATTCAAATCCCACAACATTTGAATCAAAAAATCGATTTCTCATTTTCATAATTATGCAGTTATGTATTAAATTGTGTTTTTATTGATAATCTCAAGAGACTCTGATAGCATAGAATAACCTTACCTAAAAACTCTGTTCAAAATAAGAATAGACCTCGTCGGCTGTCTGGTGCACAGAGACGTGGGAATACTACACGGCAGGTTCATAGATTGGTGATTCGTTTCATGGTGGGGGTGACAAACAGGTGTTACCTGACTGCCACCGACAAAAACTGGTCGACAAGATCTGTTTATATTTTAAATAGAGTACATTAAGTTATAAGAAATAAGAAATGCTATGAAAACAATATAATGTTTGTGATAATTATTGAATAAGTTGTATTAGGGGTTATAGCAAATGTGACTGAGGAGTTTTCAAAAGCACCTCCCATAACAGAATTTAAAAACTGTTATATTGCGTGAAGTTATTAGAAAATAAAGTATAAAATATGCTAAAATTCTTATAAAAATAGTTTAATTCGTTTCTGGTATTAAAAATAGTTGTGCCATTTAATAATCAATAGAAGGTATCGAGTTTGCATATAATTGTGTGTTCTTTGATATAAAAATCACTATTTACTTATTATACTTATTCTTATAATTTATTTAAATGTATAAAATAAATACAAAAATAAAATGTATTAATTTGAACTCTTATCACAACTTGGCTTATAAGTAACAGATATTTTAATTTTTAATATAACTAAAAGCCGAGTAAAGGGAAAGCAAATTTATTAAAAATAAGAATTTGGCTTTGACAAGTAATAAAAATAAGATATAAAAATCAATATTTGCCGTATTCAGTATATTATGTTATTATTACTAAAGAAGACACTATATTCATATTATTTTTCTTTGTTTTACAAGTGTGTAACATTTTTTATGTTCAGTAGTTCACATAAGTTTGACAAAAATATGAGCTATTGTAAATAATTTTACTATGCTACATACTCAAAAGATAGAATCGGCAAATACAGATATGGCGCCCTCTTAAACGACGATACAATTACTGTTTGTGTAAGCAAATTATTTTAAATAACTTAAAATCACGATAAAAATAAATCAACAACATTCTAATAAATTGACAATCAAAAAAAGTTATGAATTAACTATGATTTAAGATGGTATAATCAGCCATTGAACTATGAGATCATCATACACAGACAGTCAAATTAAATCAAATCATTAGAACAGCGATGGTTTCTTGAGTACTAGTGCTTATGATATAGTGCAAGGGTACAATTTAAACAATTTAAGTACAAAAAAAAAAAAAAATCTATAGTAACATATCATCTCAGTAAGTATTTTTAGTGTTTTAACGACAAGTACATTTTGTTCTTTATCATTTTTTTCTCAGGATTGATTCTCTTTAATAATAATGCTATAATCCTAACCAATTGTTCAGAACTTAAATTGGAACGATTTTTAAACTTGGTCACAAGTTGAGTTGTAGTGATTGGTTTTCGTGATAAATATCTACGGACAGCCTCTTCAGTTATGCCATGCGTATCAGACATTGTAACTGGTGAAAATTCAACTCTAGCTTTTTTGTGGGCAGGTTCCGTGCTAAAATATGGAATTAAGTTTTTGTTAATAGTAAAGTTTTATCTCATGCAATAGATTGATATTACCTTTGAATAGATGTATCGCCTGGGAAACCAATTAGATCATTGTTTTTCATTCCATCTACTAAACTAAATGGTCTCTTTCTAATTGGCTCACAGTCTATATCTGAACTATCTACAGAACTATCACTATCTGAATCTTGAAAAATAAAATAAAAATACATGACAATAAACAGCATGATACTTTTTGTAATAAATAACAAATCAAATTTGAAAATACTTTATCTCAAATAAATTATTATTAACTACCTGTGTCTTTTTTAGTTTTTTTATCACTGGTTTTCTTTTTTTTCTTATTTGGTGAGGATTGCTTAGGTTTGTTTTCTTCTTTTTTAGTTTTATCTTCTTCTTCCACATCAGTATTATTTTGTTCATCTTTATTTTCTTCTTTCTTTTCTGCGTCTTCGTCTTCGTCCTCATCAGATGTCAAGAGACTTTTTAATGCTTTTTCTTCTGACACTCCCTGCATTTCTTTAGTAACCTTGGCTTCATCATCTGTCACACTATAGAAAAAACAATGCTAATTTAGTTTTATGCTATGTATAGATATTACAAGGTAATTACTCGTCTGAAGAATCCGATATATAATCCAGCTCTCTGCCTTCTTCATCACCATCATCACTTTCTTCAGTTGCTGATTCGTCAGACCCTTTTGACTTTTTTTTTGGTTTAGCTTTGACTTTGCTTTTTTCTATAAAATAATAATTTAATGAGTTGTTAATTTTGGTTATTATAAATCATAACCTAACCTAACTGTTGTTATATTACAAAAATGTATCCAACTAAAATTTAAATTTATCATAACTAACATAATTTTTATATTATTTCATAGGGAGAGTTGTACCATCTACGGTTAAACTTCGATTACGCGTAAGAGGACGCCACACCCGCATGTGTTGTCTCCGTCTTACAAATGTACAACATGGCAAAAACTCTTTTGCGAGGGACAACTTTTCTCGCACCATATTTGTTGTAGAACTACCAAATTTTCACAGCACTTAAAGAAGAACTTTATCTGTGCAACAGCGTGCTCTTTTTTTCAATAGCACCATCCAATCATTTTTTATAAGCAAATTAAAAAACCAAATGTTTAGAAGCAAATAACTTGTATTGTATATATGTTATAGAAAAAAAGAGCACGCTGTTGCACAGATAAAGTTCTTCTTTAAGTGCTGTGAAAATTTGGTAGTTCTACAACAAATATGGTGCGAGAAAAGTTGTCCCTCGCAAAAGAGTTTTTGCTATGTTGTACATTTGTAAGACGAAGACAACACATGCGGGTGTGGCGTCCTCTTAATCAGCTGATAACAGATATTTAACTGGACAAATTCGGCCAGTTAAACTCCAGTTAACATTAATAGGAGATGGTACAACTGGCCCTTAATACTAGAAAATATAACCGCAATGGCATTGTGAATTTCTGAAATTAAATTAATTTATTAAACAAATTATACATAGAGAAATTATATATTTTTGATGAACAAACACTGCCTTACGTTTTTGTTTCTTTTTCTTTTCAATTTTTTCCTCATCCTGTTCTTCTTCTTCAGACTCATCTTCTTCACTTTCCTCCCATTCTTCCATTTCTGATATTTTGAGTTCTAATATAATCAATCAAAATATATCAGCATTAAGTATTACTAAATAATAACTTAGTTTTTCAAACCTTTGCTTTTACGACTTTTAGCTGCTTTTTTCCCTTTAGTTTTATCATCTTCATCAACTTCTTCCTCTTCTTCATTTTTAAGTCTTTTTTGTACCATGAGAGTAAAATGATTCAAAACTTTATTGCGCCTATGAAAAAAAAATTGTATTTTTATTGTTTTAATTTATACTGTAATCAACTTATTATTTTCTAGTTAAATACCTTCCAAATTCTTCTTCTGCTTCTTCAGAAGTTAATGTTTTGTATCGTTGTACTGGTTGAAAGTTATACCACTCTTCTAGTTTATGTGCAATAATTATGCCATCATCTCCATGAGTAAACAAGTAATATGAAGAATTATCAGTTATTCCTCCTTCACGCACACCCCTAAATCTACAATAACCAATTATGTATTATCATATTAATAATAATGAAAAATAAAACATACTTTTTCCCACCAACTTTCAATGTCCAAGGACTAGATTCCGACACTTTTTTGTTACCTCCATATCTTCTTTTTCTTGCTTCTTGTCTAGCTTCACGGCCAAATTCACTTCCTGCCCCAAATCTAATAATATGAATTAAATATGGTGATTTAAACGGCATGATTTTATACATAAAAAATACTAAATAGTTACTTAGGCATATCTTCTTCTGCAATTTTTCCATCTACTTTATTGGCGTCTCTCTCCATTTTGGCATGAGACCATTTGTCAAAGTCAATATTTAGGTTACTATTGAATTTCATCATCTGATATTTTACATCAGAACTCCTATTAAATTAACATAAATAAAAATTGTTAAATTATGTGGTATTGATAAATAATTATTTTTATTTTATATAATGGTAGAAACTGTTTCACACAAACACTATTTAGTCATGTCAGACAAAGATCAATTTATTTTATATAATACTAGCCGTCCCACCCGACGTTACTCGGGCAAAAGTTACCTCAAGTGAAATAGTTGGTAATACCCAATATTATAACTTTTAAGTATAAGTTCATGGACTCAAAAACGCATTAATTGTATTTATATTATAGCTGATCGCGTTCACTTTGTTGCTCATTAAAATATGTACCAACTCTATATGATTCAAACTTTGTTCAATTCATTTATTTAATATTCGGTGTATGATGTTCAAAACTCAAAAATTTTCTTCGACCATCTTGAATATATAATTACCCGAGAGACACGCTTGTATGTATTGTATGCGTGAGACACGAAGTATGTTTTCAGGTAGACAATCCACCTGCGGTGGATTGCAGACTCCTCGAAGTGCGTATGTATTAGCCAAATCAGTGCAGTCCGTTCATATGTGATGCAGCGTCCAAGGCAAATTTATATTTAATATATATATAGATAGATAGATAGTAATAGATAGACTGTTGATAAAATACACACACAAAAAAAAGGTTAGGTTACAGATAGCTGAAATCCTCAGGCCGCCGTGATTTACTGTATTTCCCTTTATCGGCCGATTGCTATTGTTATTATTATATGACTATAGATATACAAATTACACGTAATGATTTATTTTTACCGATTTCAACTCTTTAAAATCAAAATTTTGAAAATTGGGCGACATGGTGACACTCAGGAAGGTATTTGGAACTAGGTACTCTGTGAAATAAAATTGGAAAAAAGTTTAATACCATCGTCACAAAATGGGAACATAAAAAAGGCCTGTTCTTTTATGTATATAAGGATAAATGAATACACTTATGCTATATATCTCAAATGTGTTACCTCTGTGTTACAAAAGAAAAATATAGACAACTAGAGTTCATTAGTTATAATGTGAATTAGAGTGAACTGAACAAACTTAAAGGTAAGAACATTATATGTGTTCTATTTTAGGTTTATACAATATTTAAATATTTGAGTTAGTTATGAGCATTTTTAAACATTAAGTAAATTCAGTCTAAGCTGCTGCCACATTAATTTTGGTATGTTAGGCATGAGTTAATAAGGCGGAGACAATACATTCGGTTACGACAGATATAATAATAATATGTAATCTGAATAAAATCAAAAATATCAAATAAACTATTATTTTATGTTACCTAAAGTAATTAGGAAGAATCTTTTTTATGCATAAGTTGGAATTAATTTTGTTATTAAGTTATAATCAGAGAATATAAAATCGTTAATATAAGACAGTATTAATTGATCATATAATGCCACCAGTAATTTCCAATTAAAAATGAATGTATATCAGGACACATTATTGTTGGCCAGTAAATAAAATTATTAATTATTGACTTTATAATTGATTTAATTAATAGCATATTTGGTAGAGTATAGTAAGTTAATGCAATTGTTGTTGAGACTGAAGAAAAAAACACACCAGATATTCAAATTAACCGAAAAATAAAAAAAGTTGATTTAAGTTCTTTTTTGTAGGATATGTTGAAAACTTACACATCCAATTACATTTTCCTTCTAAATTATGATTTAAAATGTTATCAATGATAATTCAACTCAGTTTAGGATACCAATTGAACATGTTTAGGTACTATTTAAATTAAATTAAATTAAAATGAAATTTTTATATTTATTATAGTGTGATAGTGTTAAAAGGAGTCTTCAATATTACCAATAAAGAATTAAATAAAAAGTATTAAAAACATAATAATATAGGTATGCTTTTTACTTATTTTAATATTTTAAAAAAATAAATAATTTTTTACTATCATACTTATGTAATGGCAATTCAAGTATTATTAAAAATTGACACATTTACCTACCGTCTATTACAGTATTACTAACATTATGTTTTTTAATTTGCAAGAAACTTATATAGGTAATACACAATAAATTAAGCTTAAAATATAAAGGTACTTTGGAAACATTTAAATTTATGCTTTGCAATAATATACCAACTATCCATTATTTATAAATTAATTATTATTGATTACTTATATATTATTACATAAATAAGCAGTGTTAGAGTGAAATTTAGAGTAGGTACTTGGCAGTTATTAGTTATTTTAGGCCTAAGTTCATCGTAATGAATGGACTTGACAGTCATTGTTAAGGACTTAAAGTATCTAAATGTTGATGTTATATTCATTTTTATACTTTCTGCTAGTCATTCACTATTCTTTGTTGTAAGTTTAAACGGGCACTTAATATATTGATAACACAAAAATCTTATCTAAAAAGTAAATATTTCATGTCTTAACGTCTACGTTAATCAGAAGTTAAAAATGTATTTGGAACTGTTAAAATGGTATATTTAGTTTGGATAGTCATATCTACCAACAATAATTTTTAATTTTAAAAATCTATTTTATTAGATGATATTTACTAATATTATAAAGTCACTAACATGCTAATATGGTATACTGTGTACGCAAATAAAATCGGTAATTGTACGCCTGCCGTACACATAGACATAATAAATATTAAAACCTGTTTGACTGTATGCAACTCACTTAGGTACTCTCAATGTGAATTCTTTAGTACTGACTGCTGGTGACATGTAAGAAGTACTGCTTCCGCCAACTTTCTGTAATTTGTCAATAATGTTAACACACAACAAAAAGGTTGTATAATTAGTAATTGTGGAACTTACTTGTGAAAAACTCATCGTAGGCCGGATATAAAATAACCAATTGTTGAATTCGTACGTCGGGTAGTCGTCAGAGAACCGAGAAAATGAACACAATTCACGAGCGCAAGATCACTAAACAAGACCGTACTTGGTACACAAGTACACAACGCTAAACGCTGAAACTGAACGCACGCTATACTATTATGTTATCTAAAATTTATAATTTATAAACACACGATAAGTCTCTAATCTGGAGATAACGTGATATTGTTGGTGGCAGTGGTACCAACACCGCCGGCCGCCAAATAGATAACGAATAATCCACAAGACTTGTCATATTTTGCCACGAACATTATTTTATGTCAGAGAGGTGTGAATGATTTATGACATGACTTATGACTCTTCACTCTTGGCTCTTGCCGGTGTCCTAAATAAATACATCATCATCTACTATAACTATTTTTGTCATAAAACTTCACTGTTACAGATTATAATAATATAATATAATCTGTGGCCTGTGCTACTTTATAGATTGTGAATATATTTTTCCTTCTTTAACATAGTTAATACCAGCTAATAATATTAAAATAATATTAATTAACTGTTTTTGTTCTACGCGTTCAAGGTTTATAGATAAATATAATTAAAAAATAAAATATACTATACATTATACGTCTTGTGCCGTTCTTAAACCTTTGATCATAGAATATTTAAATATTATTATGCTGTGGTTTTCGAGATAGTGTTGAATGTTGATAATATCAAATAACCCACACGCCGATAATTCTAGAATCTAGATCATTTCGTGGACGATCTTTTCATACCCTCCAACCAAAATCCAAATCAAGTTATTATATTCAGCCCATGTTCGATACACAGAGACAACTACAGCTCCGTGATCAATGACAAAATTGTCACTCATAAAAATTCATAATCATATAAGACAATGTTCGGTGCTCCTATCTACTTTGTGTTCGAATAGCTGATAACGCGACCCGACTTCGACGATGAGTTTTTCATTCGTAAGTTCAATACCATGATAAAAGAAGACGTACCACTTTATCATGGTGATGATTTCGGAGCTCTTTCTTGAATTGTTTATCATCAATCACGTTGCTCATCTTTTCACCGGTGATGAATGACAATAATAATAATATCACGATTATTCCTCCGTCGCCAATCGCCGTAACACAACACGGACAGTATAGTCGCGAAAGCCGCCCGGTGCCCGAGAAAATGTCGTCAGTCAGACGGTCGTAGTTGACGGTCTGCCCCGGACGTGACAAGTCGAGACGACCGCGTGATAATTATTGCTTGATAAATTCCATCCGTCCGTGATCGAGAGATCGTCCGGCCGCGATGTGCCGCGCGTGTTCGTCGTCGACGTTCGCGTCTTGTCGCGTCCGGTCGTGATCGACAGTGTACTGTGTGTCCCGCAGTTGACCGGCCGAAATGTGACAGACGCCCGAGCGGTATGAACGCGGCGGCCGACGGTTACGGTTCGTCGTGCATCATGTCCATGAGCTTGGACAGCTGTGGTAAGGAGCAGCTCAAGACGCAGTTCGTCACCAGGGAAGGTGTCTACAAGCTACTGACGTTGGCCACGTACTCCCGGCCGAACCGCATCGGCTACAACGTGCAGACCAACACTTCCGTGCGGGTGTCGTTTGTCGGCTACTCGTCGTCGGATACCAACGGCAACAACGACCGCATGTGCTTCAACATCGGACGCGAGCTGTACGTTTTCTATTACAAAGGAACCAAAAAGGTGAGAAATTGCTGTCCTTTTCATGCGTTGAACATACGCTTCTGTACATTCGTTTCTGGACGTGTGATGTAGCTCTTAAGTCCATTGTTTAGATGTCTCATGGCTAACAGTTCACCTTCAATATGACCCAATACTTTTTTTCAAACGTTACCCATGTGCTCATTCAATTTCATTGTTCACCATGTTTGGCAAAAACTTAACTTTAAATTACACATTAATTTTTAGCCAATTACAAGTCAAATTTACAGTTTAAACAATCATATATAGGTACAACTGTACAAATAGTTTGAGTGTAGATGGCTCAAACAACGTAACAAAAATATATATTTATATTATTTGTATTTACAGGGAGCAGATTTGACTAAACCCATAGATAAAAAATTATACAAAGGAATAAGTCCAACATGTCATGACTTCAATTCAACTGCCACAACTGAAGATTCACTACCATTAATTGTGGGGTTTTCAACAGGATTGGTACAGCTGATTGATCCTATTAGAAAAGATGTTAGCGTATTATTTAATGAAGAGGTAAGCCATATATTTTAGTGACTAATTTAAATATTAAACATTTTATTAAATACTTCAAGTAATAACACATTTTTTTTCGACACCTTGATTTTCTGTCTTTGACTAACACATGCGCAAAATAGATTTTTAGACGTATACTTTTCCAAACATACCAATTGACAGCAATAAGAATTCTAAAAACAGATTTGAATTTGTGGCCAAGTCTACTTGAAATCGACTTTTGCATATTTTTTTTTTTATTATTACTACCTACACCCAAAATTGAAATAAAACAAATTTTAAATACAGGGACTGGAACCTTGATGATTTTTACGGTTCTGATTCCTATTCGGTTCCCAGTAAAACTAACATTTCGGTTTCAGTTACCAGAAAAACTAAAATTTCAGTTTCGGTTTCTTTTCGGTTCTTAAAAATAAAAAAAATGTTACCTGATTTGGTTTTTTACTTATGGAAAAAAATTTATCAAGTAAAAGTAAAGTCCGTTTATTTTCCGGTTTTTAAATTAATTTAAATAAGGGTTCCGGTTCCTAAACCGGTTCTTTTCGATGAGGTTCCAGTCCCTGTTTTTAGATTAGTTTTTTCAATATAACGTTTTTATGAATTTAGTGGATACTGTCAAAAATGTGGAAAAGTCGATTATCAGTAGTCGTAACGACAAATTCAAATCTGCTTTCAGAAATTTTATTTGCTTCATTAGATCAATTGGTATGTTTGGAAAAGAACACGTTAATATCCTATGTCGTGTGTGTGTTAGACAATGACAGAAAATCACCTGGTGGTATCCCCTTAACATAATATTTATAATAATGGAGATTATATGATAAGCACAGTTTAAGTTAAGTATTTTGTATGTAACTACAAGAGTGTGTTTAGTATGTCAGCAGTTAATTCATTAATTCATTATAAATCTCAAGTCCCAACTTAATTTCCTATGTTATTTGTGTATTGTGTTTTATCCAACTTATTGGATAATGGTACCAACACTTGTGGTCCTTTTGATGTCACTCTAAGAATATGTTATACCCATGTGGGTAATACACGTGTATTGACTCTGTCTTACTAAAGTGAGACATAGCCAATTTTATGTTAAGAAGAATTCATTTGCTCTGTTATTTTTAATACTAGAATCAATTGACCTATTATCCAATTTAAGGGTAAAAATATTATCTAAAGCACCTCAAAAGGTTTTTTCTTCTTAAATTTTGAAGCAAGTAATAAAAAAATGTTTGAAGCTGTCATTTATAGTATTTTTACGAGTAGTTTACCTTTAAATTTAATAATAATAATAAACTTGCATAAATATAATTCATTCTGATATTACAAATTAAAATTAAAACTGATTATTCTGAATGTTAAACTGTCTATTTTATGCTTTATCAGGATACTACTATATTATTATTATTTTTTTTTTGTTCTAGAAAATCATTGATAAAACGAAAGTCACGTGTGTTAAATGGGTACCAAATTCAAAACATTTATTCCTTGCATCACATTCTAGTGGTCAGTTGTATTTGTATAATGAAACATTTACTTGTGGAACGACAACGCCAAGTTATCAACAAGTTAAATCTGGTGAAGGTTATACAGTTCATACATGCAAAACAAAAAGCACACGAAATCCAATGTACCGATGGTTAATTGGCGGCGACTACAACAGTATCAATGAGTTTGCATTTTCTCCATGTAATATTTATTTAGCAGTTGTTTCCCAGGATGGATTTCTCAGAGTATTCCATTATGATAAAATGGAATTGATTGGAATGGCTCGGAGCTATTTTGGTGGATTTTTATGCGTTTGTTGGTCTCCTGATAGTCGGTAAATAAAACATATATTATTATAAATTGGTAAATTGATAAATTAAAATATAACATCAGACTCCATACATTAAAAAATATTATTATTATGTTTGTAATAATATATATGCCATATACATTGGAAAATCATTTTAAACAGAAAAACTAATGTAGATTATATACAGGGGCAGATTTAACAATTTGCAGCATAGTTCGCAGTGCCTTAAATAGTTAAATCCTCCCCTGATTATATATTTATGTTTGGTATGTAATTAATATTTGCATTAATAAACGTTACTATTGGATAACAATCATAAAATGTATTGAACACCATAAAAAAATATAGTAAAATACAGATAATGCTTTCATGAGTTGAATTAGATAAGGTACTCAAATTAAACCAATACCCAATATGGCCTAATATTGTTAAAAACCGGTATTCATAAAAATACAATGCTTCAAATATGAATTACAGTTTAAATTTTAACATACCAAGATATCACAAGAGACAATTTAAATTTAAAAAAATTGAATTATTGGTTGTTATTTTGATACAATTATGAACAATATGTTATTATGTTATTTCTAATAACTAGAGCTCGGATTTCTATGTAAAAACACGTTTTCTTTTGGATGTATGCACAATTTAGAGAATTTGATATGTCAACAAATCATAGTACCTACTAAGAATCTAAATTTAAAAAAAAATTGTTTGCATAATTTGATTTAAAAAAAAAATATTCTATGCTAATTAAAAAATTATGGACATTCAACATTTAACTATTCAACTACTTTTTTTAATTTTATTATTCATTGCTCGCAGTGTTCTTTAATACCAGTACAATTTGATAATGAAATCTGGAAATTATTATAATTTTAGATTTTATTGTTATATGCATAGTATATATTTTATTTCCTTGTATATTATCACAACATAACCTAACATTTTTTCTTCAGTGATTACAGATATAATTTTAAAAATATGTTTCTTAACTAATATTTTATTTTTATTATTAATTTTGTGAAATTATTAAACTTGTTGATGTTAAAAATAATCCTATTAATATTATAAACTTGAAAATTTGTGACTTTGTTACTCTTTCACGTAAAAACTACTGGACCGATCTTTATGAAATTTTTACACTGTGTGTATTTTGTTCCAACTTAAAACATAAGCTAATTTAAAAAGGGAGAGGACCAACCCCGGGAGGTGCTCAAACGGGAATTTTGAGATTTCAAATGGAAATTTTTGTTTATAAATGGTTGTCATGGGTTTTTAAGCTATTATAATAATAATAATAATAATAATAATAATAATAAAAAAATATATTTGCTTTACTTTTTAAGGGGTCGCCACACCAACTTTGTTTTCCCTGTCTATCTCACGCATAATATAGGAACATAGATATTCTTTATTTCCACGATTACGGTTCTCTGGTTCAGTTTAAGGCAAATTCACCTATTATATATTTGATAAAGAAGAATAATTTCTGTGCTTTGGCTTGATAGTTCTTTAATATTTTCATTATTGAATAAGTTATTAATGGTTAAAAATAATCGAAATTAAGTTAAATTAAAACACTTTTATATTTATAAATAATGAAAATATCAAATACAATATCTTAAGAAGTTCTTCAATTCTAAACAAAATGAAATCATTTTAATTTTGTTGTCTCTGTATGGAATTTGTGTATTATAATGCTAATACTGAACAAATATTATTTTTAGATACATAGTGGTCGGAGGAGAAGATGATTTAGTTACAGTCTATAGTATTTCTGAGCATAGAGTCATAGCCCGTGGTCAAGGACACCATAGCTGGGTTAGTGTGGTGGCATTTGATCCATATACGAGTACACCACCGTCTATGGAATCATGTTTACCCGGATACTACAGACTAGGTTCCGTAGGTCATGACACTCAAATGTGCTTATGGGACATCACTGACGATATATTGCATCATGTTACATTAGTGTCACCACTTCCTGTGACATCTAAACAAAACGGTGTTATAAATAATGCAAAACACAATGTTAATGCTAATAATATACAAAAACAGACTCAAGACCCTATGAGATTGATCGGTACTACTGCTTGTCCACGTTTTGATCAGTGTCCACGACTAGAACCATTAATTTGTAAAAAAATTGCTCATGATCGATTGACAGCTCTAATTTTTCGTGAAGATTGCTTTGTAGCTGCTTGTCAAAATGGATATGTTTACACCTGGGCTCGTCCTGGAACAATTGTGAGTGTTCAATGAATACAATCTATATCGATTTTAAAATAAAATACCTAATATTTATACAAAAATTTTTTTTTTTCAGACAAGCCTCAATGCACATTTGGTTTCAGATCCAAACTCTATCATGTCATCATTAGATCTACCTTCATTAAATCCTGCATCTGCAGTCTAATGAATAATTTATTACAAATAATACGATACTCGTTTATTCAAATGATGATAATTTCTAATGTTCTGTGTTATATAATCACGAAAAGTGAAAAATTGACAAGCACAAGGTGATAATTTAAAAAATAAAAACAATTATAGTTCAAATGAATAACTAATTATTATCGTACTTTAGAATAGTAATACAATTTAAAAAAAAAAAATTGAATTAAAACAAAAACATATAGGCTGTGATCATTTATTAATATTGTCAGCTAATCTAATAACCTTCTTATATCTTAAATGGTAATTGTAAAATATGAAAGAATATTTTATGAAGACCATAGGTATATTTTATTTTGTATGTTTTTCTTTGATCAGATCTGTTTAATATTGTAATCAGGACTATTGTTGTCTTGTGTTCAAATATATTGTGTTCAGTCTTATTTTCTCCCTTCAAATTGTATTTGGGTAATATTTTTCATAGGTACTTAAAATGTTTAAATTATGTACCTCAATCAAATGAACAATAGACATAAAAATAAAATGAACAATTATTTTGATAACAATAGCACAGTTAATGGATTGTTAAGTGGTTCGTTAATCATTATTCAAAGACTGTATCACCCAAGAAACTATGTAAGAAAAAATGAAAAAATATGATAATTACTTATACTGACAAACTTAACAATATTTTACATTTTTATTATTAACAAACACAAATACATTAATTTAAGTAAAATTAAAAGGTAGTTCATCGTAAATGGATATAATTTTATTTAATAAAAATAAATTTATCATTACCATTGTACATAAATATTATTTGTACTAGACAATTTAGACTGATCCTAAATAAAACATGCTAAAATGTATATGTATGTATAAGTATCTTTATTAGTTTTATAGTATAAGATCATTTTGATTGACTGGTAGGTTTATTATACATAAATGTATCTGTACAAAATATTTTATAAAACAAGTTTTCATTTTGTAATAGTTTAATTATTTATACCATTATTAAATCCAATTTGAATTTATTTTCGTACCACCTTATTGACTGAGTTATATTTTTTTTCATATTATATTTCATTACTGTTACTTTTAATATAATGTCAATGCTTTTATATAGCGAGGGACATAAATTAAAATATTAAACCTATAAATCAGTAAGCATGCCAAAATTCTTGGTTAGACAACTTAAACCTTGTAATCTCTTAACTACCACATATTACTAGTTTTTTTTTTTTATGTCAAAATCGGTTTCTATGGTATTTCATTTTATTTTTATAGTACTTAAACAAAAAATGTTGTCACATTCCACAATATTATTATTTTTTAATAATTTCAATGTGTGCTTAGCTAGTCGAAATTCCTCTATGAACGGTTGTACCTTTTTCTTTTTTTTTATATATACTTATTATTACAAGGGTAATTTTTGTGTTTATTGTATATTTTAATTGATTATTTTTGTTTTTTAAAAAATATGAAATAATATTATACTCATAATTTTTGTATACTTTTATTTTAATTTAATTTTAGTTTAATAATTATTTAAAAAAATATGTAATTGTTCTAATTTGTTGGATAATTTTATGGCCAATATATTATATTTTATATTATATTATTAAATTATTCACTCATTGCGTTCAGTAAAAAAACATTTAGTTGTTATATACATATATAAGTTACTCTTATGTGTATTTTTTTTAACTACCTAGGTACCTTGTTTTAGTGATTTTAAATCAAAATTCTTTAGTTTTTTCTTAATAAAATTGTAACAACATTTAGAACCTATTAAGTAGTATCTTGTTACAAATAGATTATATTATATTTGTTTATTAATAAACATTAATATAATGTAACCTAAAGTAAACTATATTAATTAATTTATATTTAATTATTATTTTTAATTTTAAACATGATATTGTAAATTTTAAATCTAACTAAAATAAATTATTATTTTTTATATAATATATAATATATATTATAAAATAAGACTTCTTAAATTTTAAATGGATTATTTGAAAGCAATTTAAATATTATCAATATATCAAATATTATTTTGAAATGTAATATTACGATGTAGTTGATATGTTATTTTATTATGTATTATTGGTTTAAAGTTATTATTTCTTTTTATATTATTAAAAACATTAAAAAATGAAAACTCAATTATACAGAAATGTTTTGTTTGTTTTTTTACAGTTGTATACTATTATTGTAGGTATATGATGTGCTGTTATTTATAATGAAAAGTAACAGTTAAATTTTTTAGTGACTTGAAATTAGTAACTTCATAACCTTGGATCAATTTTATATTTTATACCTTGTGGACAAATCCCTATTAACCTAACCTAGTGGTTTGCAAAGAAATTTCAATTGTTTTATCTTGGACTTGGAATGATTAAAACAAAATAAAAATTTGAAAACTGGATTCTGTTAATTGGTTAGCATTTGAACAAAATGCAACCTGAACATTTGTTTCTTGTTTTGGCAATTTCAAGTTTTTTAAGTTTTTTTTTATATTGTTATGTCATAGGTACATACATACGCAAACCAAAACAAAAACGGTAACTACTGTAAGTATTATATTATATTCACAAAATGAATTACAGGACTAATGAGTTTAAATAATTGTGTATTTTTGTCTCTATTAAAGTTTGGTAATAGTTCTGCTTTCAAAGCCTAGACATTTTTTCTCCCAACACTATTATTATTGTTTGATGTATTTAATTATTTTTCAAAATTATTAAGCAGAGATTGCAGACCTAATATAATACCTATACGGCAGTTTTCTATAAAGTGACTGTAGTTCCAAGTAAGCGTTTGATCAATTCAATGACAAGTCCATCAAACAGGTTTTCAATTGTGTCTGCTTTTGGGGAGTAAATGCCTTTTTTCGGATTTCATACAAATAAAAAGAAATCATTTGAAATGGTTTCCAGTTAATGGTCTTGATTCCCGCCCTGAACGTAGTAGTAATGTCTTTGGGATAAATTGACGTTCGGCGTAGTGCGTACATTCTTATCAATTTCAGTTATCAATAGAGTCTCGTCATCAGACGAAAGCATGAAACAACAATATTCGTTCGCTACAAATCCGTTCACGATCAAATCAACAAAGTCGAAATATTTTGCACGATAATTATTAACAATTATTTATACTTCTGGAAGCATGTTTATTGTTTGATAGTCTACTTACCGACGTCACTTACTTACGGTTGTATTATACATTCTGTCAGAAATATGGTTCTCCTAGAAAAGGCTAAAGTAAGTGTTTTTCAACATTTTTTTTACTGCTTCGATAAACCGTACTTAATTTCTATTGCTAAACAGAAATAAATGTCCGACGATAAACTACAAAACTCATTTGATAACAAAATTTATAAAATAATCTCCCCAACACGTAAGCGAACTAATCCTTTTTGTGCGTCAATAATCAACGTTCTATCTGTCAGTGGCATTTTTGTGATTAATCTAAAATGCCATCATTATGTTACTCTGTTATAAATAATTCACTAGAGCCTTTTTATTAAATTATGTGGTATTTTTCCATCTTTACATTAATTTATGTTTATCTTACACACACTCGTCGCAGTAAAATTGTATTTTGTTGTTAAACTGTACAAATTAGTTACAGTGAAAGCATGATTTGTTACAATATAGGTAGACAAAGAATGTTTTAATCTAGCGCCTTACGTAGATTCAAAATTGTATTTACTTGAATAGTTATAACCAATTGAAGTTGATAAATTGATACTAACAGATTTTTTAATATTTTAATCATAGAAAATTTTCTTTATTGACTACTCTATTAACACTTTTGAATATTTGTTAAACTTAACTGATTTTCAAAGATAGTTTTACCATAATGAGTATGATAGATTATATAAGGATATAACAAATGTTAAGCTGGCAATCTTTTTAAGCACTTATTTTATTTAATTTTGCTGTTTGTTTCATTCAATAATGTATTTAATATTTATATAAAAACATTATATTCTCTATCTTATGGATACTCACCAATTAAAAAGTTCTCATGATTAACCTCGAGTTTGACTAAAAGTCAAACATAATTATTTAGTTTGTTGGTTTGGATTCATTCATCAGACACTATCTTTACTGGTGGAAATTAAAAAAAGTCTCGGGGAAGAAATAACTTAATAATATTATTGAGTATTGAATATGATTCAATGACATAATTTTTTTTATAATTTTATAGTCATTAACTTATTATTTTTGTTTAATATCTATTTTGTATTTATCAGAAGAATTTTTAAAGCTATAGCTCAAAATATTAAGTTAAAGCGATAATAATTTTTTATACCTATAGGTTTTTTTATAATTACCTATGTAATATTTTTTTTTCAATTGAAAAATAAATAAATGTTCGGTGTTCCTGACAAGTCATCTAACTTAGTGATTTGTATATATTATTTTTTAACAATACTATTGACTACGATTCAATGGCATTTTTTTTTTTTATAATTTTATAATTATTAGCTTTTATTTTTGTTTAATATCTGTTTTGTATTTAGTAGCTATTATATGATAACATAATTATTGGATATTATCTTTAGAAAATAGACTTTTTTTCCTATCATCCTTTACTGTTGATGCTTAAGTGTAATATTGTATTTTTTTCTTAAATAGATTACCTTTTCAATTTATTATTAACACAGTATGATTTCCTAAGTACAAGTTATAGTTTTGTAACTACTAAATTGTGGAAGTATTTAGTATACGTACAGAATTAAATAACATATTAACAATGAAACAATTATGATCAGAAAATTTTAATAAAATGTCATATTACTCTAATCAATTATTTTCATGGAAAATATATAATTTTAAAATGTCTAGTTGTAGCTACCTAGTAGTACCTATTCTGTTTTGGTTGTAATTACTAGGATCTAGATATAGACGGTATTACATTTTTTTTAGAACTATTATATCTCATCTAATATCTTATATTTATTTACTAATTGAGTAGAATAATTCTATAATATCAATATTTAGTTTTATGTGTCTTGGATACTAATTTATTCATATTTATTGAATTTATTTTTGGGCAAACTTTTTTAATAATCTAAATCATCCCTTATAGTTAACTTATGATTGCCTAATAATTTAACTTTAGAGGACGTCGCATCCGTATATTACGATGATTCCGTCTTACACACGTACGATATAGAAAATGTCTGTTCACTAATTTCAATAGTGTGCTGTTAGGTTTGATATTAGAGTTAATTGACCTATTATCCAACTTTTAGGTAAGAACATTATCTATGTTCTCTCTTGTTTTTTTATGATATTTTAATTTTTAAGTGAGTTATGAGTTTGTAAAATATTAGTTTTTGAAAATGCTCATAATTCCCTTAAAAATTAAAATAGTTCAATGAGAGAACACAGATTATGTCTTGCTTAAAAATTTGATAATAGGTCCATTCACTCTAATATCAAAACTAACGGCATACTATTGAAACTAGTGAACAACAATTTGTTATGTCATGCGTGTGTAAGACGGAAACAACATATGTGGATATAACATTCTCTTAATAACTAAATTCATTAATTTATTAGTCACAACTCATAGTTTATTCAATAATAAGTAGATAGACAAATGCACTTACGAATTTTATTAATTTTTATTTCAAATAAAATAACAAAACCAAACTATCACTTAATCAAGAATAATAATTATAGATTTGTTACTCCTTAATTTCTGTTGTGGTTTTTAGCTTTTCAAAAGTACCTATGTGACAGCTTATAACTAAAAACCATACCACTTAACTCGATATTTTTCCTCAACAAGGTAAATCTATGAATCATAAATATATTTTTGTTAAGTTACCATGACAACAAAAACCTTACGAAAAATCGTCCAAAAACATTTTATTGCGTATCCATCCAAAAACATATTTATGTTAAAGAAAAAATGATTAAATATAACAATTTAAATCAATAGAATTATGTTTTATTCATAGGTACCTACCTACACTTTGTACGTTGAAATTAAAATTTCAAAAAAAATTGTTTTGTATTGGTAGTTATAAATATGATATTACTAAATTTGAGTGATAGTTGGTATAGTTGGTATCATTAACGCAATTTGTTCTTTGTTTAACAGTTTTTGGAAGAGCTAAACATTTTGTTTAATACATCTCAGTCATCTGGATCAGTGAGAATAACGATGAAATTATGTAAGCCGCTCATTATTTCATAATACAGTGAAATCTCTGTTTATAGATAGACAATATGTAATTTAAAATTGTAATGGAGACCTAAGGGTTTATATAGAATGGTGTACTCTATAGAGAGTATAACATGTATACGTTTTGTAGAAGTATTTAGTTATAATTTTAAACAGAAAGCAGCTGTCTATAAATTGAGGTTTCACTGTGTCTAAATTTATGTTTTGGAATTTAAAAATATGACATGTTTGCATATCTAGTGCTATTGAGTAAAAAAGACCCAAAGGATCAAAAACTTAAAATTGAAGTACCTAAAGAAAAAGTATGTTTAATCAGGGCTACATTCAAAAACAAAAAATTAAGTACTAGAGTAAGTGTTGACTTTGTTGTAAAATTGGATATCGGACTTGATATAAAAATTGTAATGCCATTTCTGTGTATAGATAACTGCTGATGAAGTGAGCTCATTTCAAGAAGAGTATTGCACATTGTTGAAAAATTCGTTAAGTAGTTTGAAAAAGACTAAAAAATTAAAGAAAAAAGCCATGTCTTAAAGTGTACAACATTGTTTGTAATGTTTCAAATATTTTTTCAAACATAATGTATTTATGACTTGTATACATACAGTTAATGTTTTTTTTATTAAAATAAGATTTTACAATATATTTATTTTTTTATTTTAATCAAAAATTTACAAATTTAAGTACCTATTGACTAATAATTGTTTGCAAGGCTTTTGATAAAAAAAAAAAATATTATAGCTAAGTATTTATAACTTAAATCAGTAAGTACAATCTTATTATATTAATTAAAAATATTACAATAAAATAGACAATACTATTTATATTAAAGATTGAAGGTAGTAGGTAAGTAAAACTAATAGTTGGACAAATAAAACAAATTACTGATTATATGTGATATTGAGTTTACAATGAGTACACAATGTTCTGCAATAGAAAAAACCATGTGTGTTACCAGTACGCGCGCGGGAAGTTAAACTTCTTTTGAATGGTACACGTGAGTGAGTGAAAAAGAAAGAAAAAAATATTAATCAATTTAAAAAATGAGAAGAAGTATCCGGAATTATTTATTATTGATAGTTTTATTATTTTTTTTATATTTTTATATTCAACAGATCGATGGATAATTGTTTGTAGTATTGTTTTATATAATATTAATATTTAAATAATATTTAAAAATCACAACTCTTAAAAAAATTATGATTGTTGAACTCCTTTTGGGTGTAACTTGCTGGGGTAAGTGCAACTCAGCCACCCGGGTAGGCAATGTTCAATAATTTGATTTGATGCAAGCTTGTACCTGATCTGCCCGAATAACCAATGGCAACCAATAAATAAATGCTAATTTCTAATGTAGACTGTAACCAATGGCAACTATTAATAAATAAAAATAAAATTTCCAATTTCCATCTTGAATCTCAATGTCCCTGTTTGAGCACCTATTTAAAATGCGAATTTCGAAAAATCCTTTCTTAGCGCACGTCTACATCATAATAGCTATCTGTATGCCAAATTTCAGCCAGATCCGTCCAATGGTTTGAGCTGTGCGTTGATAGCAGTCAATCAGCTTACTGTTTTATATATACAGATATAATATATAATATATAATAAAACAACATTACCATGACAATATTTATTTATTTACGGACATGTACGCTTTCGCGTTCGTACGGCCGCCCGTTCGCTTTTTTTTTCCTCACTACCGTGCGTAAAGAAGTATAACTTCAAAAAAATGTTTTAGACATTGATATTTAAATTTTTAATCAAAATTATTAAAATTTTGCAATTTAATCAAATCGGTCACGGTTAACGCGTATATGTATATATTATACTTACATTTATGGTGGCTTAACTTTTATTTTTATGAAGCAAAATATAAAAAATACTTTTTACCTCTTGTGTCCAAAAGTATAGTGCGGGAAGAGAAGACACCATGATAAATTGTTAATTATTTGTTGTTTTTTCAAGTGCACCTATTATAAACTTAATATTTTTTGAAGTTATACTTCTTTACGCACGGTAGTGAGGAAAAAAAAAGCGAACGGGCGGCGCGTACGAACGGGCGGCCGTACGAACGCGAAAGCGTACATGTCCGTAAATAAACAAATATTGTCATGGTAATGTTGTTTTATTATATATTATAATATATATATATATATATATCTGTATATATAAAACAGTAAGCTGATTGACTGCTATCAACGCACAGCTCAAACCATTGGACGGATATGGCTGAAATTTGGCATACAGATAGCTATTATGATGTAGACGTGCGCTAAGAAAGGATTTTTCGAAATTCGCATTTTAAATAGGTGCTCAAACAGGGACATTGAGATTCAAGATGGAAATTGGAAATTTTATTTTTATTTATTAATAGTTGCCATTGGTTACAGTCTACATTAGAAATTAGCATTTATTTATTGGTTGCCATTGGTTATTCGGGCAGATCAGGTACAAGCTTGCATCAAATCAAATTATTGAACATTGCCTACCCGGGTGGCTGAGTTGCACTTACCCCAGCAAGTTACACCCAAAAGGAGTTCAACAATCATAATTTTTTTAAGAGTTGTGATTTTTTACGAGCAACTAAATTTGTTATATTAATCCACCGTATTATATCAAAATAAACTTGGTATAACTTTGATAATTTAGAGTTAAATCATACACTTCCGTACAAACAGAACGGGGTCCGCGATCTACCGCAGGTAGATTGCCTACCTGATAATGTACTGCTGCGATTCAGAATTTTTATTCCGGGCAACTGAAAAGATAAGATACATTTTGAACACCATACACCGAATATTGAATAACGAATTGAACAAAGTTTGAGTCATAACTCATATTGAGTTGATACATTTAAAGGGCGACGAAGTGCATGGGATCAGCTAGTATTATATATTATAATCGGGCCATACTAATTAATATGAATAATTAATGATCGATTATTATTTATTTTTATTATTATTATTAGTATTCACTCACAAATCTATTGTCTGGATAAAAACAATACTACAAACAATTATCCATCGATCTGTCGAATAAAAATATAAAAAAAATAATAAAACTATCAATAATAAATAATTCCGGATACTTCTTCTCATTTTTTAAATTAATTAATATTTTTTTCTTTCTTTTTCACTCACTCACGTGTACCATTCAAAAGAAGTTTAACTTCCCGCGTACGTACTGGTAACACACATGGTTTTTTTGTAAAAACCAATATCTAATAAAGTAAACACATTTGGAAGTAAAATTATTTTATAAATGCCAAAAACATGGTGATTGTAATAATATGTACATTGTTAAAAAAAATATGTTTTTTTAATTGAATGAAATACGTGTATTTTTTTAATAGGATAACTTAAATACATATTTTTAAATATGATTACATTTTTCTTCTAGCTGTTTTTACTTTTTTACTAGTTAATTGTTTGATATTTGAACTATAATAATAGTAATCAAAATATATAACTAAAAAAATATTAAGTATAAGTCAGAAAAAAACATTTCCCGACAATAGAACTATCGTTTCATAATAGTAAAAGTTATCCTACCAGTTATAAGAGCATTGATAGATACGTCCAATAATATAAAAATGATTTTCTTAGATATTATATAGCTGAGGAGATCATTATATAGTTGAACTTAATATGCTTGCAAATATTTATTTATTTTTACAATAGTTAAATGAGAAATAATTAAAATAAACAAAGACAAAATATATAGGTACTCTAATACATATTAGGTAGGTACATTTTAATTCTTTTTTCAATCGGTATTATGTAGGTTTACAACATTTAGCTTTGTTCTTCATTTTTCAGGATCTTAATGGCATAACTATTTAAGTATCTTACTAGTATAATCTATTTATTTTAATTCCAAGAAAGAAGAATACTGGACCCAACTGAGACTCTACTCCCTGCACTTTTATTTAAATTGAGGTATGTACAAATCTCTTGGTTTATATGGTACCTAGTTTTTGTCTTCCATCATATCCCATTGCCATCGCTTTATGATGATAGCCATTAAGGATCTTGATGCTCCTATTTTAGTCAGTACATCCAAATTTGTATTCTAATTTTCTCTAATTATTTTGGGTTTAAATTGAACACATTAATACATTTTTCTTTTATAATTTATAGTGTTTGTGTTATATATTATTGATTGATCGGCTAAGTAACAAACCAAATCAAAGTATTTTTTGTCATTTGCATCATGGAAAACAAGATGAGAAAATGACAAAACCGAGTTTCACAATTTCAATTCTTTTAATCAAAACAACATTTTTAGAAATTGTTAGAACTTTATACGTAAGTGTACAACAAATTTTTAAAAACAATCCCTTATTTCATATAATTTCAAAACAATTTTTACGACCAAAATCTTATAGAAAATACTTATTGTACAACCAATTTATAAAATACTTATATATAGGATAGTGTATTATTATTACAGTATTTGATTTTAATGCAATAATTACATTTTATAAAAAACGATTCTGAGGGGGAAGATCATCAGTGTAACAACTAGTAATTATAATATGTAGAAATATATATATTTATTTATAGAAATTAGTATGTTTAATAAATAATGTATAATTTGAAATCAGATCCATAAATTATGTTTATGTTCAATAGTAAATTGAATAAATATTAATTCGTACATTTTCATTTTTTTAGTGGTTATTTTAAACTTGTATCTGTTTCTATGGTGATAAACTAAGTGTTAGAAAAAAAATAGCTTAACAATAGGGTATTTTGATGGTTTTTCCTGTGGTGTTCAAAAACTATTGAGAAAAAAGAAAAATTACCTCTCTAAAGTACCATCTTGATCTAATTGGCTACAAAATAAGATACTATTATGTTAAAATCAAAGCACTCCATTGGTAGAAATTTTGTTTACAGGATAAAAAAAATTAACATCATTGTAAAACTACTATAGCTTGCTCTCGCAGCTCAGGATCTAAAATGAATGTTTGTCTGACTGTCCGACGTCCGTCTGTCTTTTATACATTCCTAAATGGCTAGACCGATTTTGATAAAAAGTTTTGTGTGTGTTGAGTGATTCCCGTGATGATTTAGATTCACAATTTGACCAGGTAGGTTTAGCGCGGGGATGTGCTCTAACAGGGGTTTGGAGATTTACGATGGAAATTGTTGTTTATAAATAGTTGCTATTGTTTATAGGAGACATAATTACTAATTAGTAGAAATTAGTATATATTATTTTATTGGTTGCCATTGGTTAATCGGGCAGATCAGGTACAAGCTTTATTAATTCGCAAATTACCTACCAGAGTGGCTGAGTTACACTTATTGCAGTGAGTTTAGACTTTAGAGTTACACCCAAAAGGAATTGAACAATCATATTTTTTTAAGAATTGTCATATTTACGGGCAACGAAGTGCTTGGGATAAGCTAGTATAATAAAAAATCACTTTTACAACTTGTTTTATACATGCAATGCAATTCTATAAACTACTTAGCCGATTTGATAAGGTGATGCTCAATGTATGCGATTTGGTCCAACTTAAT